GAGATTAGATCATTTAATAAATATAGACAGGATCTTTTAAATAGCATAACAATATATATATATATATATATATATATATATATATATATATGTATATATATAAATATATAAATATATATATATATATATATATATATATATATATATATATTTTTATATATATATATATATATATACATATATATATATATATAATATATATATATATATATATATATATATATATATATATATATATATTTCATATTTACCTCAACCTAAAATTACAAACCACGTTTTATTTTTCAACTCATTATTCCCATATGCAGTTAGTATATCTTTATAATAATTTAACTAATGCATTTAATAATTATTATATTCATTTTATCTTTATCAATTAGCTATTTTCTATTAAATTCCTGTGAATCCAACATCATCAACTAACCACTACATTCTGCAGTCCTTTGAAATCAACGAGTTATTCAGTAATGCCATAAGTATTTATGTATTTATGGCATTATATATTTGTAAAGATAGATTATATATAGTATAGATTATATATTTGTAAAGCTTATAGACAATATATGATTTGATTTTTAATATCTTAGTTTTATTTCATCTGCCAAACAGAAGTTTGGCAGATCACGAAAAAAGATAGAAAAAGAATAGAAGTAGTAGAAATGGATCTTCTAAGGAGAGCGTGTGGTGTATCCAAAAAAGATCAGGAATGAAGATATAACAAGGAGGACAAATACTGTAGGTATATTCCAGTGTATTGAGAGAATTGAAATGAGACAACCAGTGTGGTATGGTCATGTGAAGCGAATGACTGAAGATAGGAGGCCAAAGAAAGCTTTGAGCTTTGCTAAGAAAATGTACGACACCTAATGAGAGATAGAGCCATCAAAGAAGACGAATGGATGGACAGAGAACAATGACGGTCGAAATGCGAGAAGGGCAGAGGCTGTAGGCCTTAATAAACTTCGCTTACATACATTTTATATTTTATATCTTTTTATGTACAACAAAAAATATGATTAGGCAAGGATATTTTTAGATATTTGTCCCAGCCAAACGTATTGTTCATATATACTTCTAAGATAAGACGTTCTAACATATTAAAGACTGAGCTAAACAAGGCCTAACGTTTGATTTCCACAAAAGTTGTGAGTTTTATTGTTTTATATTGTCTCCTAACTTTCAGATGTAGTTATACTGTTACAATGTGTTTGCAGTGGAATAAAAAGTGCTTTATGAAAGAAGAGACTAAAAAATCTTATTATGGCCAAGAGAAGACCGGAAAAGGAAACGTCAACTAAAAGATGGCAAGAAGAATGAAACAACATAGAAGATGTGAGACACTGGATTAAGATGCTGATTCCAAACATAAGAGATTGGGTGGACTGTGGTCACAGGCGACTGGAATATTTTCTAATGTAGATACTGACAGGATACGGATGCGTAAGGACGTACCTCTCTAGATTCGAAGAGGATGACACAGATAAATGCCCATACTGTGGACACAGAATAATAAACAATCAGAATGTCCACTCTCAGATGCCGCCTTTGAAGTTTTTCAGCACGCGCGCCATGTTTTAGAAGGAAACACATAACACAGATATATGATTTGTGAGATTATGTAATTGTTTATATTTATGTTTAATTATATTATATTTATGTTATTATATTTAACAATGTTAATATAATTGTATAGTATGTCTATGATTGCCGTAAGTCAATTAAACCGGGTTAATTTTTCTATGTACACCACATAAACAACACTGGTTCCCTCTAAAACATGGCGGAACGTCTGCGCGAAGGAGATGCGCGTACTTAATTTTCCATGGAGAGTGGGCATTCTAATTGTTTATTATTCTTTGTTGCGGATAGAAAGTGAGTTAGACTGTGTGGGTTAGACTGTGCGAGTCAGACTGTGGGGAAGGAGAAAATACCCTGCTTGGAGTGATGCTGTACTAGAAGCGTTGAGAGTCTTCTACGCGCTACTTGGAATGGGATTCCTCTTAAAAAAACTCAGTTTTGAGACTAAAAAAAAGGGGACACAGGGAAAAGGGTCTGGTTCAGCAGGTAGGCGTTTGGCGTAGACTCGGCGACGAGAGGACTTTTTTAGAGTACCTCGGGATCTATCGCCGCGAGTACGAAAAGGAAATCCTGCACTAAGGTCAATCAGGCGACGTCCTGAACTGATATACCTTTTGAAGATTTAAGGCCTACATCTATAAAGACGAAAAAATAAGGTTACGAAATTTAACTTGATTTGTACTCAATGAAAATATTATAGGAACCTAAACTAAAAAAATAAATATATGTTCATTTATACAAATGGTCAGCCAGGTAATACAAAATTTGAATATTGGATTAAACGAACTGAAAAAGCAGAAACGAAGATAAAAAAGATAATTTAACTATAAAATCTTACTTTTTCCTTTTCACAAAGCACAGATTCAAGTTGCTTGATAGTTGCTTTTAAACCAATTACAATTTCTTCTGTCTCTAGTTGTTTAGTTCTAGCTTCAGAATATTTGGCTTTTGATTTTTTTTCTGAAGACTCCAAATCTTTAATTTCGTTTTCATATTTTTCCCTTAGTCTCCTAAAATAAAAAAAATATGTAATTACAAACAAAAAACGACGCGTAGCACTTAAAGAGTGCCGAGAGATGTGAATATTTTTTTATTTTTATTTTTTATATTTCTTTTATTTATTTTATTTAATTTGATTTAAATTTATTTTAATTTTATTTAATTCTATTAAATTTTATAAAATTTTATTTAATTTTATTTAGTATTATTTAATTTTATTTAATTCTTTTAAATTTTACTTAATTTTATCTATTTTATTTAGCTTTATTTATTTTATTTAACTCAATTTAATTTTACCTAAGTTCATTAATTTTTTATTTATTTATCATTTTTTTTAATTTATTTTTTTTATTTTTATTTTATTTTTTTTAATTTTATTAATTTTATTTATTTTTTTTTTTATTTTTTATTTTATTTATTTTTTATTATTATATTTATTATCTTATTTTATAGATTTTATTAATTTTATCTATTTTTATTTATTTAATTATTTTATCTATTTTATCTATTTTATTAATTTTATTATTTTATTTAATTTCATTATTTTTATTTAATTTTATCTTAAATTATCTATTTTTATTTATTTTATTATTTTATTATTTTTATTTTTTTATTATTTTATTTATTTTTAATTTTTCTATTTATTATTTTATTTAATTTTTATCTATTTTATCTAATTTTATTAATTTTATTTAATTTTATCTATTTTTATTAATTTTATTAATTTTATTAATTTTATCTAATTTTATTTATTTTATTTAATTTTATTTATTTTATTTATTTTTATTTATTTTATTTAATTTTATCTAATTTTATTTATTTTTATCTTATTTTATTTTTTTTTAATTTTATTAATTTTATTTATTTTATTTATTTTTATTTATTTTATCTATTTTTATTAATTTTATCTAATTTTATTTAATTTTTTTTATATTTTTTATATAATTCTATTTTATTTTATTTTATTTTATCTTCATTTATTTTAACTTTAATCTAATAAAAAGCAGATATCGAGCAGAGTTTTTATTAAATCTTGTAAAAGTACTTTCGCTCTCAGAGCATCTTTGGGGGCATTTCGTCAAAATGATAGGCTATCCAGCACTTTTATGACTTTATTTCATTAACAATAAATAATATATTTACATTTAGACTTAACACTCAACAAAGGACAAACGGTTAAAAAAAATTAAATTCGAAGAAGCTACGTAGTGTGTGACAGAAGGAGGGATAATCGATTCTTTCTCCTGCTCTCACCTACTATATCATCATTATCATCATTATTAATTAGCCTATATTTGTCCACTGCTGAACGTAGGCCTCCCGTAAAATTTTCCACCTATTTCTATTTTGAGCTTCTTGCATCCAGTTTGTGGTGATGCGCTTGATATCATCCGTCCATCTAGTCGGTGGTCGTCCTCTGCTTCGATATGCATCTTGCCTTGGTCGCCATTCCAGAATCTTTCTGGTCCATCTATCATCCGTTAATCTGGCAACATGTCCGGCTCAAGCCCATTTAGCCATGGCTATTTTTTCAACTGCATCTGTGACTCCTGTTCTTCTTCTTATTTCTAGGTTTGGTACTTTATCTCTGATGGTAATACCTAATATTGATCTTTCCATAGCGCGTTGTGTAACTCTTATTTTATCTATTGTTCTTTTTGTCAGAGTCAGTGTTTCTGCACCATATGTAAGAACCGGTAAAACGCACTGGTTAAAAACCTTTCTTTTTAAACAAACTGGGATACTAGACTTGAAAATGTTATTCAATCTACCAAAGGCAGCCCATGTGAGACCTATCCTTCTTTGTATTTCAGTTGTCTGATTATCTCGGCCTAAGCGAATCTCATGACCTAGATATTTGTAAGCTATTACTTGGTCGATGCTATGGCTCTCAATCAGAATTTTACCGCTGACTACAAGGTTGGTCATAAATTTTGTCATTGAGGTGTTAATTTTAAGACCAATTGTTTTTGATACTTTATAGAGCGTGTGCAGCATTTTTGTAGCTTTATCAACTCTATCAGATATTAAAACGATGTCATCGGCAAATCTTAGGTGGTTCAGATCTTCCCTATTTATATTAATTCCCATATTATGCTCTCGTTCCATTTGCTTGAACATATATATTCAAGAACAGCTGTAAACAATTTAGGGGAGATAGTATCACTGTATCTAATTCCACGTTATATTCGAAACTTCTTGGTATCTTCATGAAGGCGGACACAAGCTGTACCAGTTTCGTAAATACCTACTATGTAGCTTCTTTAAATTTAAAAAATGGGTTAGTTTCAATTGTAAACTGAAGGTGTTTATTAAATTAATTAAAAATATTCAGTGTGGTATTAATGTGATATAATATGTGGAACTGCACATATTATGATGTCATCAAATTTTTATAGTTGTAAGGATTGGACTAATCGGGTTCAATCGATGCAAGGGCCCATCGGTGTGGGAAAGGATTTGTAAGGATTTGCAAAAAATTGCGCTTGGATAATGTCGTGTAGTCTTTTATAAAGTTCCAATGTAATTCTATAATGTCCGTGATCATGTTTGGTGGAATGTTTGTAAATAACACCACATCTAGAGAAATGAAAACATAATTAGGTATTTGGTAACTGCATTCCCCTGACAGCATTTGACAAAGGTAAATGTGTCCTTGGGATTATTATTATTGTGATATTCAAAGGCGTCATTTAATTTATCAACAAGAAATTCAAAAATGTTGTAGGTACTGGAATTTAAAGAACTTACAATAGGCCTTACAATAGGCCTGGCCAATAGGCAAAATCACCGGAAACGGATGGTATACCCAATAAACTTTTAAAATATGGAGGCCCGCAACTTGCAAGTAAACTGGCACAACTATTTAACAAAATATTAAACAAAACAGAAACACCAGAGGAATGGCATAATAGTATCACAATCCCCACATTTAAAAAAGGACAAAAAACCTGCCCACAAAACTATAGAGGAATAACCCTCTTAAATACAACAATGAAACTTTTCACGGGTATTCTCAAGGACAAATTGGAAAAGCAAATCACTAATGCTGAAGAACAACAAAGTTTTACAAAAGGGCGGTCTGTAACAGACGCAGTATTTAAAATAAAACAAATAAAAGAAAAAGCTATAGAGTTCGGCATGCCAGCGTATATTTGCTTCGTTGATTTGACGAAGGCATTTGACAGAGTTCGCCTGGGAGACATTCTAAATATATTAATAGAAAATGAAACACCGACCAGTATAACAAAGATACTCCATAACCTAAATAACAACAACGTAACCAAAGTTAGAGCAGGAGACGAATTCACTGAAAATATTCCAACACCGGGAGGAATTAGACAAGGCGACAGTTTAAGCCCCTTCTTGTTTAATCTTCTCATGGGCAAAATTATCAACAAAGTAACATCTCTTAATCTCGGATATAGAATGGGCAACAAAAGAATTGGTATGGTGTGTTACGCAGACGATGCAGCAATTATTGCCGAATCAGAAGATGATCTCCAAAGGCAGCTCTTTCAGTTCTTTCAAACAAGCCGACTACTAAATATGAACATCTCTACCAACAAAACTAAATGTATGACAATAGCAAAAGATCCGCTCAGATGTAAGTTAGTGGTTGAGGACAACCCCATAAACAGGTGATGCAATTCAGATATCTGGGCATAGATATATCAAGCACCCACGACCCAGTAAAGGACCTGAGGAGTCAGATCAACAAAGCATCTGCACTGTCAGGATGTCTGCGGGAGATAGTCTGGTCAAATCCGTATATGCGCACAGATAGTAAAATTAGAATCTATAAGACTTGCATACGACCGATCATGACATATGGCATAGAATGCGCGAAGATACAACAAACGAAACGATGCTAAGGGTTGCCGAAATGAAAACCCTAAGAACAATAATGGGGAAAACAAGAAGAGACAGAGTGAGAAATACAAACATTAGAGAGCAGTGCAAAATTCAAGATATTGTAAGATGGGGAAGGCAGCGCAAGAGGATGTGGTACAACCATGTAAGACGAATGGATGAGAATAGACTCCCAAAAATTGCCCTAGAAAACAATCCGCCCGGTTCAAGACCCCCCGGAAGACCACCTAAAAGATGGAGGGATAGTTGGCAATCTATCTCCCAAGAAATTAACCAGAGGCAGCTTCAGAATTAAACAGATCGAAAGATCTACAAAAAGTAGAAGAAGAAGAAGAAGACAATAGGCCTGATAGGAACGTCCAATGTATGGATTTTAGGCAAACAATAAAGTTTAGGGAAACATAAGAGTCATAAATTATCAACTTGTTCAATCAGTTAATAGTGGTTTTTTAAAGACTTTATTAAGTAATTATACTTTAATCGTAAAATAGTTTCGAAACACAATTCAGATTTCTGCTATAATCTGAGCCTTCTAAAAATTGCAAGGCAAACAGACGTTGATAAAAGATGTTAAAAGAGACATGGGGAATCTAAAATTTGCATTCCACGACATGTCTTTTACAACTAAGCAGAAATCCTTAGCGAATTGTGCTTCTAGTACTCACACAGAGTAAATCCGAATAAAATGAAAAAAGGCAGCAAATATTTGATTTCACGCAAACAAATCCTATGTATCTGTTGATACGTATTTCGACCTAATAGGTCTCGTCAGAACAGCTATTCATAGGAGTTCTCAACGTGAAAAATCAATATTTTCTGCCTTTTAAGAAGCAACAATAACATGGCTTCAATACGGACGCGCTAGCGACATCTAATTACAAAAATCGTAAAATAGTTTCGAAACACAATTCAGATTTCTGCTTATAATCTGAGCCTTCTAAAAATTGCAAGGCAAACAGACGTTGATAAAAGATGTTAAAAGAGACATGGGGAATCTAAAATTTGCATTCCACGACATGTCTTTTACAACTAAGCAGAAATCCTTAGCGAATTGTGCTTCTAGTACTCACACAGAGTAAATCCGAATAAAATGAAAAAAGGCAGCAAATATTCGATTTCACGCAAAAAAATCCTATGTATCTGTTGATACGTATTTCGACCTAATAGGTCTCGTTAGAACAGCTATTCATAAGAGTTATCAACGTGAAAGATTATAGCAGAAATCTGAATTGTGTTTCGAAACTATTTTACGATTTTTGTAATTAGATGTCGCTACCGCGTCCGTATTGAAGCCATGTTATTGTTGCTTTTTAAAAGGCAGAAAATATTGATTTTTCACGTTTTATATCGCAAATAATAATATTTCTCAAACATATTTCACAAATATTTGCTGCCTTTTTTAATTTTTCATAATTATACTTTTTTGTATCACTGAAGTAGCATATTTATCCAAACCTTTATATCACACACTTTTTTTTTTTTTAATAATTATGTTTATTTACAATCTACATCAAAAAAAGAGTATTAAGTAAATGTGATTACAGGTTTTGCGCGTGAAGGGGAGACATCCAATGATGTCTCACCTTATTCTACTTTGGTTTAGTTCTGAAGAAGGTCTTGAGGCCAGGTTCTATGTAATCTTCTTGTGGCTGGTCCATTGTTGTATAGTTCCCTTACTAGCTCATTTTCGTGGTGAATGGTACGTTCATTTTGTGACTCCGTGGCTCGATGAATTTCTTCTCTGATGAAAGGAACCTTTAAGTCATTATGGAGTGTTTGGTTACTTACGTACCATGGCGCATCCACTATCGATCTTAGTACTTTAGACTGGAATCTTTGGATAATATTCAGCGACGTTGGTTTTGCACAGCCCCATAGGTGTAGTCCGTAGAACCAGATAGGTTTGAGTATGGCTTTGTATAGAAGAATTTTGTTTTGGATGTTAAGTTTTGATTTACGTCCAAGAAGCCAATACATTTGTCGGAATTTTAAGTCGAGCTGCTTTCTTTTGGTCTGGATATGTTTCTTCCAAGTGAGTCGTTGGTCAAGATGGAGGCCAAGGTATTTAGCGTCTGTTACTGTTGGTATTCTTATATTTTCCATCCTTACAGGTGGGCATATATTGTGACGGTTGGTAAATGTTATTTGAGTTGATTTTGTTTTATTTACTTTTGTTCTCCATTTTGTATACCAATCACTGAGTATGTTCAGATGATGTTGCAGGTTTTGTGAGGCTTGTATGGGATCTTCATTTACGGCTAGTATTGCTACGTCGTCAGCAAAAGAAGCGATTGTAGTATTATTGGTCTCTGGTATATCGGCTGTGTAGAGTGAGAAAAGCAGCGGCCCTAGAACACTACCCTGCGGGACTCCGGAGTTGATAGGACAGAGGTTGGATTGTTGGTCTTTGAATTTTACAGAGAAATATCTATTTGATATGTAGGATTTAAGTAGGAGGAAATAGTTACTGGATAGTGCTATTTTTACTTTGTAAAGCAGACCTCTGTGCCAAACTTTGTCAAACGCTTGTGAGATGTCTAGAAATACAGCGTTGCAGTATTTCTTTTCTTCAAGACTTTTTGATATTTCATTTATCATTCGATGAACTTGTTGGGTAGTGGAGTGATTTTCCCGAAAACCAAACTGATGTTTTGGAAGTAATGTAAGGAATTCATGATCTGCGTATATTCTTTGAAGTAGCAATCTTTCAAAAACTTTGCTTACGGTTGGGAGCAGGCTGATAGGTCGATAAGATGTTACTTCATTGGGCTCTTTTCCTGGCTTGAGGATCATAATGACTTCAGCAAATTTCCATATTTTTGGAAAGTATGATAAGCTTAGCATGCGGTTAAATATAACTGTTAGCAAAGTTATGGCCTTACGAGGAAGTTGTTTTAGTACTTGTGCCGAGATTAAATCATAACCTGGGGCCTTTCGTGAATTGAGTTTGTTTATTTCTTTCCTAACTTCTATAGGAGTAAAACTTTTAATTGGGAGGGACATTTGACATGCTGCGCTAATTAGTTCTTCCACTTCTTCATCAGGGTCTGCCGGCTCTGTTTGAAATACGTTTGTAAGATGTTCAGCAAAAACGTCAGCTTTTTCTTTGTTGGAACAGGCCCATTCGCCATTTGGTTTACGGATAGGAGGAATGGTTGTGTATGGTTTCTTTAGCTTCTTAGTGGCCTTCCATAACGTCTGGTCATTTGCTGTAAGATTTGTTATGTAATGTTCGAAGGTTTCGTTGTTTGCAGCTTTGATGGCTACTCCAAGTTGCCTTCGTAGTCTATTGAATATATGTAGGTCTATGTTATTTCTAGATCTTTGCCAAGTTCTCCTCGCACGACGTTTTTCAGCAATGAGTTGGCGAATGTGCAGGGGAACATTTGTGGTATGTGTTGGTTTGCGTTCAGTTCGTGGTGTAGATTGCCATGCCGCTTTTTGCACAAGTGTGGTGAAGTATTGAGCTGCTGTATCTATGTCATGTGTAGACTTGATCCGCTGATTAAGATGGGTGTTTTCTTCTAGGTAGGATTGAAAATCTGCCCAGTCGGTGTTTTTTGACGTGAGTCGAGGAGGTGGTGGGCTGTTTATAACTGTGGTACTCAGGCTCATAATAACCGGTGTATGATCCGATGAGAGATCATAGCTGGATTCTATTAGACAGTTGGTTCTGGACACTCCTTTGCTTATGTAGTAGTCCAGCAGATCTGGAAGTTTTCTTGGATCACTTGGCCAGTACGTAGGGATTCCGTTGGTGTGGCAATCATAGTTGTTGTCGGTCATTGCTTTTAGAAGATTACGACCTTTTGTTGTTATGAGTCTTGAGCCCCAGTGTATGTGTTTCGCATTCCAGTCTCCCCCGGCAACGAATTTGCTGCCAAGTAATTGGAAGAAGGCTTTGTATTCATCTGTGGAGATTGTGTGACGAGGTGGGCTATACATTGCAGATATGTTAAAGTGCCATGGTGTTGAATTTACTTGAACGATTGTTGCTTGTATTTTTTCTGTTGCATAATTCGGCAATACATGATGTGATATGCAGCTGCGGATGATTACCGCCGAGCCACCATGAGCTGTACCATCAGGATGAGGTGTGCTGTATGTGGTATAGAGCGGAATATTGAACGTAGTCAGATCGGTAAAGTGAGTTTCTGAAATAAGCAGAACGTCAATTTTATTTAAGTTTAAAAAAGTAATTACTTCTTGCTTATGGTTTAGCAGGCCGTTAGCGTTCCATGTGGCAACTCTAAGTATGTTTAAGAATTTCTTTGGTTAATGACTTGTGTTAGTAAGTTTAATATCATACTGTTTTGACTCATGAGTTGTGAGAACATGTTTTTGAACTCGTTTAGGAATGTTAATAGTTGTTGTTCTATATTAGTTTTAGGTTCTGAATCGTGATTTGTTTGATTTGCTGTCACGTTTGCATATGTTCTTTGATGGTTTTGTAGAGTATTTAGCTGATTTGTTTCAGTATATACATGTGGACTGTTGAATGTTGGTCCTTGAGGCTGTTGGTTTCCTCTTTTCTGCAAATGTCTGTTTTCTACTAGTTCCCTGTAGACTACACAGCCTTTATAGTTAGCAGGGTGACCTTCTTTGCATAGTGCACACTTAGCTGGAGTGCTTCTAGGTTTTTTACAATCTTTTGTATTGTGTTGTCCTCCACATTTAACGCAGTAATGCGGTTTAGTGCAATATGTTTTACTATGACCATATGCTTGACATCGCATGCATTGAATGATTGAGTTTCTCTTATTTGGTGCCTCGACTGCTATTTTGGTGTGACATAAGAATTCTAGGTTGAATATGTCTTTGTTGTTACTGTTGGGTTCAAGATCTATGAAAAACAAAGATAAAGGTTCCTTTGTTTGCCTGTGTCGAATGTTAGTTACATTGCGAACTTTATGGCCGGCTTTTTCTAGTTCCTTTATTATATCTGTTGTGGGTATAGAGTGATGAATATGTCTTATTACCACTCTATAGGCACGCTCTTCCTTTATTTGGTAAGTGTGGTGAATGATTTCTTCTTCTCGTAAATGTCTTATCAGTTTACGGTATGTATCTATTGTATATGTTATAATCTTGACAGTGTCGTTTGGTAGAGTTCTGGTATAGTAGGTTTCTTCCTCCACAATTTGTGCAAAGTTATCGACCATATCTTTAAAGTTTTTGACGCCATATACGAATATTGGAGGTGGTTTTGGTATTTTCTGTTGTTTTTCTGTTTCAGTCTGTTCAGAGCTCTCAGCGTTAGATAAAGCACTGTATCGATTTTGTATTTTTGTTGGTGGTGAGCTTGGAGAATTGGGATCATTATTTTGTTTTGAAAATTTACGTTTTTTGACTACTTGCCATGAGTTTTTATTTTGGGTTTCTTGATCGTCGTCTTCACTAGACTCCATATCCGTGTTTTCTGAATGACTAATTGCAAGTTTTAGCTTTGTGTTTGAGGTCTGCCCTACAGTAGATGGGTTGCTTGGGTTGTAGTAAATTGGTTGGGGTTGTGGGGGAAATTGTTGTGGTTGTGGTGGAAGAGCGAATTGATTTTGTGGAATGTTTGATATAGGAGTATTTGCGGGTTGCCAGTATATGTGGTTTGGTGCATGTTCGGATGTGTATTCTAGTGGAGAATATTGTTGAGGAGTTGGGTACATGTTCTTAAATGTTTGTTAATAGTGGACCTGCTGCTTACCTGCAATTTCTGCTGATACTACAATAGACACTGATTGTTTGTGTTCCGTGTATGTGAATTGTTCATTGTAGAAAACAGAATTTGGTACGCCACTGCCACTTTACTGTTTATTTTAATAACTAGAATTTTTAATAATTAGATTTTAATTGTTCTTATCGGTGGTCACTTTTTGCTATCGCACTCGGCGGAATACGTCCTTACTCTACGATATACAAGTGAACACTCTTATATCACACACGTCGGGGAATATTCTAAAATCTCCAAAAAGTAGGTTTTAGACAATTAAAGGTTAAAGATTTTGTTTTTCTAGTTAGGATGTATAATAGTTATAATGTTATTGATTTTTAACCGAAATTTTATTTTAAAGTGTCAATTATTTTTTTCTTGGTTTGCTAAAAAAATTAGTTAATTGTCTTTTAATCAAAAATGATAAAATTTGACAGATTTATTTCAAATTTCGTAGTCGTTATAGTATTCTCTGAATGAATTTATTTTGTTTTTGGGATATTATCGTGTTTCTAAGACGATTCTATTTTATTATTAAGTTATTACGCGCATCGATCAAATAAGAGTAGTCATTTCTGTCATTGAATGATGTAATAAAGCGAGAACAAATTAACGATATTTTTTAAAAGTGAATTTTTTTTTTGATAAAAGTAAACAAAGAGAAACTATTCTGAATATAATTAGAGGAACAAAAACAACAGTAATATTCTAAAAAATGGCAACACAAAATTTTTTCATACCTTTTAACAAGTAACTTTAGTCGTTTGTAATGATTAATTTAAATAAAAACTTACCCTATATCCTGACTATTATAAAATTCGTAGTAGGTTCTTTTAACGTAGTTATTGTCCACCAAGTACATGAGATCTTTTTTTGTTGTTTGGAGCTATGGGAATGAGCGCATTGTACGCTTTCTTTACGGTCCAATTTTTAATTTTTTTCTTTCCTTTCCTACACAGATACGGTAATTGCCGATGATCTTGTATTTTTTGGTGTTGGTTTTTAAATGTATCTAGTTCTTCAAAGTTATCAGCGATGTAGGATATTTTGTACAAAAATTTGAAGGGGTTGTTTTGTGAAAACTTTAAAACTTTGATATCAGAAAATGGAAAATTCTCATTTTTTTCGTTTTTCTTAAAATTGTCACCAAGCTCATTTTCAAGAGCTTTGAAGTCAATAAAATCCTGATAGCTCATTTCGTTGACCTCAAAGTATGGAGTGCTCTTCTTGGTTGTTTTCATAATTTGAAAATACTGAGAAAAAACATAAATGCCGCCAGGTTTTAAACTTCTTCTAATTTCTTTTTCGATAAACGAGTGTGCGTGATCCCCCCCCATTTTGGGTATGCCCCTTAATCAAATATTATTGCTCAATCGCTTTTATATTGTCGAAGACACAGAGGCTGAGTCTTCGACATGTGTACACATGTACATCATTAATATGTATTTGTTTTTCTGCTGACCTCCTCAATTGTCTGGTAGAAGACAAAACTTATATCTTCTGGATAATCCCTTTTGTTTTGTGTTCCTCATACCGCGCAAAAGCTATATTGCCATAAAGTTTGCTAACTTTTTGAGTCAACGCGTAGGCAATATATTTTCTTCAGAGTCATGTATCCCATGGGTCGAATGATATCAAAACTCGGGACTGGTTAGTGCAGTAAGCGTAGCACAAATGTCAATATATAATATTGCAGTGGGATGGTTAGTGGCACATTGACAATAACTGCCAGAGATGATAAAATTTCAAGCAGAAGACTAAAAAGGAATCCACGTAAAAGACGGGAAAGTTAAGTATTTGCTGACTAGCTTAATTTATAAAGCATCATAAAGGCAGAAGCTATTAGACAGTATACATTAAACACCCCACAAGCAGCAGTTCAGAAGCCAGCTGACTATATCGTCTATAACAGACTATTAAAAGAATATCCTAAAAATATACTATATCTTTACCTTATACGATTTTCTGTGGATTTCTCTAGTTGAAGCTTATTTTCATTTGCCTCGTTTTCCAACCTTTCTATGACAGCATCGATATGCTTATCTCTATCTCTTTTAAATAGTTCGTGCATCTCAGCTTCTTTTTCGCTTAAAATTGTAGCCTGCTGTTTTTTAAAATTGTTTCGCCAGTTTTCGTTGTCCATTAGAGTGGATTGTTTCAGTAATTTTATTTCATTTGCATGACGTCTAAGTACTACCTGAAAAAAAAACTTATTAATATTCTAATGATTTGGTACATTTTTTGGTACAGTGTGCTTTCAAAATCTTCTAAATATCTTACTGTGTGGTCCAATGTGGTTTCACCCTTGAAAGAGCTTAAACCAACATTCAAATTAAGCCATCGGTCAAAATTAAATGAACAATAGTGCTCTTTTTACAGTTTTTCTTGTGTTATTTGTTTCCTTTTTTTTCTCGTTTAGTTGTTAATATTTAATGTTTAGTTATCGTAGTGTATTTATATTATCTACAAAACTTGCAAATTGTTAGTTGAACTGATGATGCGTTTAAAAATAAAAGCGAAACGTATTCAAATAAATCAATGAAATAGTTATTGACTTTCATTTGCCAATTATTGACCAATTATTGACCTCTGCTATTCAACCATTGAATATTTTTAAATTTAATTAACAGTAGTATTTTTTGCTATATATATATATATATATATATATATATATATATATATATATATATATATATATATATATATAAATATACAGTGTGTCACAGACTAATTTACCCACTTACCCACGCTATATCTCTTAGACAAATAGATATTTTCGAATGGGACAAAAAGTGAACTATTCTACTTGTAAAACACTTTAATATAACTTAAACAACCCCCTTTGTGGCTCAGTGGTAAGAGCGCCTACTTTTAAACCTAAAGGTTGTGAGTTCGAATCTCATCTGGGTGAAGAAATTTTTGTTTATTAAAAATTAATAAATGAAAATAATTTCTATCCTTGTGCGATCGGTACTTACCGGAGGGACCGCAGACGTTCGGACACAATTACCGTCTCTTAGCAAAGACAATGACGTCGACTTTGCTAAGTATCAAGACAATTACTCTATACACACACACAGACACACACACACACACACACACACACACACACACACACACACACACATACTACACTAAGTACCTGACTGCACCATGCCAATGATCTTAGTTGTCGACGCATTAACTCAATAATAATAATAATATAGCTTAAAAAAATCATCCCTAAATATTCATCCCTTAGTTACAACCCCTAATTTTAATTTTTTGAATAGCACCCTGTATATTTTTTTATAGTTTTGGATGTTGTCTTCTATCGTCTATTCAACAGATTTATTAAAAATAAAATCGGTTTGTAAATAATCAAGAAATCAATTAATTTTTATTTTTGTTAATTAAGTGTCCCAGACTAATAGACTTTATTATATATATATATATATATAATATATATATATATTATATATATATATATATATATATATATATATATATATATATATATATATCACTCTTACAAAACAGCTACCACAAAACCCAAATCAGTAAGAGCATTCAAATTCATCTAAACCCCATTCCATTAAAAAAAGAAACCTTGCCGCTGGGTAACCCAAAAACTTTCTACCTTTTATTAAAGTATTAAAGGTGTTACTGATAAGACCAGTAGAACTCTTCTTTCTTTAAACATCAAAACCATGTTCACTACTTACTCCAAGTTGTCAAATCTCGTCAGATCCATAAAAGACCAAATACCCAATGAAGACCATGGTGTCTACGAGATTCCTTTTTTCAGTTGCTCACGTACATACATAGGACAGACAAACCGTCGAATCCAGAACCGCATTTACAAACATTTTATATCAGTCAAACATTCCGATACTACGTTAGCCGTAGCCCAACATTATATTTAGACAGGCCACATAATAGATTTCTAAAAAGAAAAAACTATCGCCCCCATCCGCTCCTTAAAACCAAGAAACCTAAGCTTATCGAAATTAAAAAACGGCCCAACAGCTTCAATACGCGTGATCACGATAAACGACTGTCGGTAACATGGCGACCCATGGCTTCAGCGACCACCCGCTCACACCGCTCAGGCCACGTCAGCTTATACGGAACCGTATCACTCTATTAATGGCTACAAAATGGGTGCCAAAACGTCGAGTTGTTAAATTGTCAACGCGGTTCTTTCCGAGAACTAAGTAATTTTCATATATATATATTATATATATATATATATATATATATATATATATATAATATATATATATATATATATATATATATGTTATATGTGAAAATAGTCACCTTGAACCACTCAAGGGTTACCGACACTTTGGTTTCGCAATATCAGTTCCTATTTCATCATTCTTTTAGCAAGCGTTCCCATAGAGATAGCTGACTATGCACGGACATCAAACTCTGACCAAAGCTGGCCTTTCGTGGGAAATGCCGACACCACATTTTGTAGATAGATTATAAATTCAGGACTAACATTATATTTTTTACTCGTCATATAAGTTTCTTACTAATAACATTTGCATTATATAATTTTATTTGCTTCATTTTATCGTATAACTAAGTGTAACTTTTATTTGTGAAATAAATCTTTTTTAAAAAGTCAATCAAGAAGTTAGTGATTTAACATTTGGCGCAGTCAGTAGGATCCGGTTAACGTTGTTAGAACAAGGAAACTCACTAGCAACGGCGGATCCCTATCCCTCAACGGAAAAAGAACCTAGAGCCGTCCTCATTCAACTGGATACTACGGAAGGAACACCTGGTGAAGCCCCTGGTAGCATATCCCATTAGAAAACAAGACGTACTCGATGTTTCTGTTAATGTAAGTTATTGAATCATCTCGTTTTTACAATTTTTATATTTGCAAACATACCGTACATACATCATAATTTTTTCAATTTATAATCTTGACTATACAGAAAGTCAAGCCAAGTTGATTATCTAATAAGGAAATACCTTTTTATTGCATATTTTTATTATTTTATCATTCTTATTTACACATTTTATTGATTTCTTATTATATTTTCACCGATATTTTACTATATTTTACTTTATTTTACCACATTTTACTTGATTTTACCATATTTTACTTGATTTTACTACATTTTATTTTATTTTACCATATTTACTATTCGTATATTTTGTTTTATACTTCCACTAACATATTATTATCAAAATGCCTGAAACACGTTCACAAACCCAAGTTGAAATTGAACCATATAAACTTTCAGAAATATTCTCCATAATTCCTGAGTTTGAAGGAGATCCAATCTCTCTTCCCACATTCTTAGACGCATGTGATTGCGCGATTAAAATGTCTTCGGGAGACCAACGTATTTTATTAACGATTCACATTAAAAATAAACTAAAAGGTAAAGCAGCTCAATTAATAAACTCTAGAAAACCAACTACATACACAGACATAAAAAATTTATTAAACCTTCATTTCGGAGATAGTAGAGATCTCACTTCCTTAATTCACGACCTACAAAGACTTCGACAGTTATCGAACGAATCACCTTTAACCCTTTTCAATAGATTACAAGTTCTAAATGCAAACATGCACGCCTCAATTCAAAAATCAGGCCTAACACAAGACCAAAAAACCGCCCAATACACGTTAATTGACTCTATGGCTTTAAATACTCTCTTAACTGGACTAGAACCCCGCTTAGGACAAATAATTAGGGCCAGTAACCCTAAAGACCTTATTGAAGCCAGTAACCGTATCCGACGTGAACTTCAGTTATCGTATTTCGAATCCCAAAAATCAAATAAAGATAGCCAAAATAATCCAAAACCTTCCCAACCGACGAGAAGAACCTCATCTAATTTTTCTAAATGTACAAGTTGTGGTCGTATTGGCCATTTAAGTAGCGAATGTCGCTCATCACGTTTTTCTTCTTATCAAAATCAATATAGCGGTAGACCACAAAACTACCAAAATAATCAAAACCAATCCAATCAATATAATACTAGATCACAAAATTACCCAAGTAATCAAAACCAATACAAAATTTAAACCCACAGAGATTCGAATTTCCCTTCTCAAAATCAACCGCAGAATCGCCCTCTGTTATTCAGAGAAATCCAAATTTCCAAAATTTTCAGCAAAGAGCCCATGTCTTTAATGAATACCCTGACGATCTTGTAGAATCTTATGAAGATTATTATACAGAAAATGATCTTCAAACTAACTATTTTTACGAATATACCAATGACACATCTGATTTTATTAATAATACACCTGATACAGAAAATTATCAGGATTTTCTTTCGCTACCCAATCAGAACCATCCCCCAGTACATACGAATCTTTCAACCGATATCACGAATGTCCAACAACAAATCCAAGCCCTCAATTTGGACAATTTCGATCCAAATGTGAATATCCCCGAACAGAAATTCCTGTAAGCCCCTTCCACACAATGAGCTCTAAAAACTTATATTATATCAATGACGCTACGAATACTTTTAAACTTCTAATTGACACCGGTGCAGGAATTACAGTTTTCAAAGAGAATACTGCACGAAATTATCATAACCGATCCCCAGAAAATGTTACCATTCAAGGCATAACCGACGAGAAACTTCTAATTACAGAATCTGTCCTTATTCCCTTTACCGATGACAACCCTCACGAAGTTTTCATTTTTAATCTAGACATTGACTTTGACGGCATAATAGGCTTAGATTTCCTAGACCACTACGAATGTGTAATAGACCTTAAAACAAGACAACTTCATACAAATTTTAAAACTCTTACCCTGCATAAAGTCGGATAAGAGACCCATAAACCCATAGAAAATATTCCGGTTACATTTCCTACAAAAATAGTACCGTCAAATAATTTCCAAACATATCCGAAATCAAACTCAAACGTTAAAGCTCAACACAATAGCAGCTCATTTCACGAAAACACTCATGATCAACACAAACACATCCCAAGACCAGAGAAAAAACGAATAAAAGAAAAAATAAACCAAATTTTGATTGATAGCCGAACAGAACAAATATTCAAATTGAAATGCAACCTATCCAATACAGACGCAATACTGTCATCCCAAGAAATCGAAAAAGTTCGAATTCCTCACGCATTAGTCCATGTAGACGAAAATGGAGACTTTTTAACTTCCGTCATTAATGCTAATGCAATGCCAAAAATAATCGAATTTTCGAATA